ATCTGCAATATAACCAATAAAAAAAGGGTTAGTAAAGTCACACTTTAAAGGATAAGTTCACCTTCAGGAACAAGTTACATGTTCCACCCATATTTGAAAAAAAAGCGTGGCCATGCGCGGCTCTGCCCACACGGCCATGTCATTCATTCACAGAGTTCTGTGAATGAATGAACTACAAGTACCGGAAGCCTTTGCAGCTGTCAGCTTGTAGTTCTCAATGAACTACCAGGGCACTGTTGAGCTCTCCAGGTGGTTCATGCTCCCTGTCAGTGTGTAACTGCCTACCTATATCAGAGGTATGAGAGGGCAGCAACACCGACAGTCTGCAAGAGCCCTGCATTGCACCCATGATCTGCTGATCGCAGGTGTACTGCTTTACAGACTCCTAATAAAAAAAATAATAAATGCACATTTTTTTTTACCTGCAAAAAGCTGCGCATTTATTATTTTTTTAAAAAAAAGGCAATCTTATCCTTTAAAGCGGATATCTATACAGATCTTTAAAAAAAACACAGATGAGATATAATAACCTGAGCCCTTTTGACTGCCAACATATTTTTATTTTGGTTCATCCAGTTCTAAGATTTATACAGTCCTTCCACACTATGTCAGCGCTGTCTCCCAGGTCAGAAGCTCCGATTTTTCCTCTGCTGTTAAGCCACTCTTACAGGTCTTGTCCCTTCCCCAATCTACTTGTGACTTGACAGTGGAAAGTGAGAAGCAGCACACTGATTAGCTCATCATTCTACTATCATCATGTTCCTTGTTGACACAACACAACTGACTGGAACCCTGTTGCTTTTTCCTCTGCCAGTCTGAGCTCTGCTGTAAAGGAACCTGCAATAGGCAGATACCAAATAAAATTCAGATATTCACATTGTTTGAATTGAAATAAAAGTGTAGCTAAAGTCAAAAACTTTCATTTTGAATATCTGAGTAGTGAATAGTTTAAAACCCTTGTCCAGCTTTTTTTTTGTTTTTCATCATATGTGTTTCATTAGCAAACTATGGTTTGAGAAACATAATAATGATGTATTCATGAATACAAAACTGTATTAATGTGTCTTTTATATCTGCCTGAACTTCAGATTCACTTCTTCAGTACTCACTTAAAAATGAACATTAATCTATGGTGCAAGTTTCTGTAATCGTCTCTCACCGCTGCTTTTCCTTTCGGTATGCATATTTTCCATTCCTTAGTTTAATAAATTAGCAAGTAATGTTGACAGATAATTATAAAGAGAAGCTCTGCATAGATTTCCAGCAGTCCATACAACTTTACAAATTCTTCAAAACAGCAGACTTTTAAAAATGCCAAGATCTAATAAAATCCCCAGGTGTGGAAACCAAGGAACAACTATAACTCTTCTCATCTATTTTCTTCTGTTATCTCCTTAATGATACCAATTCTAAAGGAAATGTGTGTGCTTTAAAAGTTAAAAATTATGTTAAAGCTGAACTGCATTACATCAGAGCACCACAATGTTAAAATGCTATTTCATTCATTTTTAATATTCAAAGCAATCTCCCCCCATCCATATCTCAATGCTTTATTCTGCTGAGAAATCATTTTGAAAAAACACCCCTTGGGATTTCTGGCAGTGGCCCTCTTGAGGGCAAATGATTCATGTAGCATTTACTTCCTGGAATCCATCTGCCCTTAGCTCAGGCGTTGGCTGAACTGAGAACCCACCCTCCCCTCCTGAAGACTCCTGGGATGTATAACATTATTTGTCTAGGAATGGCAACCAGGAAGTAACTGAAAAAATTTAAAAACAAATTAAAACAAGTAAATATCATATACTTTTCTATCCATTTACTAATGCTAGCAGCATAAGGATTAAAAATAGTCCATGTTGACTGAGAGAGTGAAGTTCCGCTTTAACCACTTCCCAGCCGGCCCATGTATATAAACGGTTGGATGGGGGCAGTGCAGGAGTGGGTGGCCGTTCATAAACGACGCCTGCCATTTTGGACTGTGCGCACGCCCCGGGGAGCGCGGCACTGCGACCCAGTGCCCGCTGTGTGGAACACCGATTGCTATACGGGACCTCTGTGTGAGGTCCAGATCATGTGATCACTGATTGGCCAATCAGTGATCACATGCAGAGTAGTAAGCAAGATGTCACTTCTGGCATCATTGCTTAATACGTTTGAAATATGTGAATGATCACAGAGATCACATGGTACAAGGCTATTCACAACAGCCTTGTACCATGTGACAAGCTGTGACTAATCACAGCTCACACAGTATTTCTCAATGGCTGCAAGAATGCAGCCAGAGAGAAAGAGAAATGATTGCTTTTACAGCCTTTATGGTTGTAAAAGCAATCAGTGTACAAAAAAAAATCTTCATCACCCCCCACAAGTAGTACAGTGTCACTATGGTGACACTGTACTGCTAGGGTGACAATATGTTAAAATAATATAAAAAAATTAAATAAAAATGTAAAAAACTTTTTTAAAAAATTATAATTTTTGGTTATAAACTAATTTGGATTATTTTTTGTACTAAAAAGATAACTGAATAAATTTTGGCCAAGATTTATGAAGAAAGATTATTTATTTGCAAAATGTTATAAGAAAAACACTTTTTTTCAAAATTTTTGGACATTTCATTTTTATAGCAAAAAAAATAAAAATCCCAGTGGTGAATAAATACTACCAAAATAAAGTGTTATCTGTCTCAAAGAAATGCTAAAAAATTCAGATGGGTACAGTGCTGCATGACTGCACAACTGTCATTCAAAGTGTGAAAATTGGCCTGGACAGGAAGGGGGTAAAAGTGTCCGGACATCAAGTGGTTAAAGAAAAAGACACAAGTCTCCTTACATGAAATGGAGAACCTTGATGGGAGGCTACTAAAACATACAGGGTCTACCAGCCAGTACAAGATGTTAAGCAGCACATAGATGGATCAGGTTTTTTTTTTTTTGGTCAACCAGCAGATTGAATTAAACGAAAAAAAAAAAACTTGATCCAATTCTCCCATCCACATATTATAAGTGAATGAAGGAGTCCTCCTGCTGAGTAATTGTGTTCTGACAGCTGGGAGACTTCCCTTCCCTTAGAATACACTGATCAGCACTGCCGGCTACAGCCTGTGGTGCTGATTTGAGCGGGGAAAACCTGGCAGGGTGCTTGTACAGAAGTCAATCGGAAGATTACATTCTCTACAACCTCCCTGCCCATACATGGAGCAAAATTCAGTACATGGCCAACTTAACGCATGTTAAAGACATTCCATATTCAAACATTCCCATTGCAGCAGGTTGATGCATCATTTTGGAGCTACAATGTCACACCAGTAAACAAATCAATATAGAAAGATTTCTAACTATTGTTGTAGGAAACCTGTAGTGAAGCCTGATTCCTTTTGTACATGCGTATACACACACTATGTTGCAAAAATTGAAATTCCAACAAGCAGACACAGCATGTTGTAAAAATTACCTATCTGAGGATATGAATAGGAGATTGGCATATAGCTTGCTAAATTTCTAAGCATGGATCCAAAAGTGACAGTAAACTTTGGTTTAAAAAAACCTATTCAAGTATGTATTCTTAAAAAGTACCTTCTACTGTACTTCCAAATTCCTTTTTTTTTTTTTTTTTTGCTGCTGTTATCTAACTTCCTGTTAGAGGGTGACTACGTTCATTCTCCATGATCTCACTGTATATAGAAACATAGCCACCCTCTTTTATTTTCTCCCAACATGGCCCATGGACTATGGGATGTGTAGCTAGCACACAGACACATATGCAGAGATATAGCACTATAAGATCAGTATTTAGTATTGATGTGTTAGAACTGGGCTCCTGGGTTTAACTGGTACCATAGCATTTGCATGTAGCTCCTATCTATCTAACCTGTATGGGTTTCCTATAGGTGCTCTATGCATTGACTTAATGTAGCAATAAACCCAAAAGCAAACATCTGTTTTATTGCAGCTTACCATTTCTTAGGTGTGATGGCTCTTTTAATTTTCTTTTTTAGGCTTTCTTTCTTCTATTTTCTTCTGGTGATCTGGACAGTAAGTCTGTTCTTTATAAGCACAAGTTCTCCAGCGGAATACATCAGTTACAGAGATGAGACAAACCACTTAACACTGACAGGGGTGCTTACAATGATCAGTTTTTATTTATTCATGTAAACCTTTAGAAAAAAATGTTGCTGTAACTAATTTATAAAGTATTAGCTGGAGTTTGGCTTCAGTTTGTTAGGTTGCTTTCGCACTAATCCGCTAAAAAAGCAGAAGGAAAACATGTGGCCATGTATTCCTATGGAACTCTTTACACTGATCCGTGGTGGGTCAAGTACATTTTTTTAAATCCCTGCTTGCTGCATTTTTGGTGCCATAAAAAATAAAATGCACCAAAACCGCACCTCCCCATTGAAATCAATGGAAAACGTGGCAAAAATGCATAAGAAATTAACCAATGGTACGTTTTTGAGTCACATGTCCTGTAAAAATGTGGCAAAAACGCGGTAAAACTGCATATGCATTTTTGCTAAGATCAGTGTGAAAGTTGCCTTAGTGTAGTTAAATCTGCTAGTACATCTAACCTGCTAGTACATCTAACACTTCCTTCCCCACTAGACTTACAATGCTGCTGTCCAAAGGTGCCCCTGTGCTCCTTCATCCACAGTGGTGGCACTTTAACCACTTGCCTACCGGGCACTTATACCCCCTTCCTGCCCAGGCCAATTTTTAGCTTTCAGCACTGTTGAACTTTGAATGACAATTGTGCGGTCATGCAACACTGTACCCATATGAAATTTTCATCATTTTTTTACACAAATAGAGCTTTCTTTTGGTGGTATTTAATCACCACTGAATTTTTTATTTTTGATTGCCGCTGGGTGTTTTAACTTTTGCGTTATAAACAAAAAAGAGCAAAAAATGTGAAAAAAAAAAAGTTTTTCTTTGTTTCTATTATAAAATTTTGCAAACAGGTAATTTTTCTTCTTCACTGATGTGCGTTGATGAGGCTGCACTGATAGGCAGCACTGATGGGCACTGATGAGGTGGCATGGATAGGTAGCAATGATGGGCACTGATAGGAGGAACTGATAGGCGGCACTGATAGGCAGCACTGATGAGGTGGCACGGATAGGCAGCACTGATAGGAGGCACTGATAGGCAGCAATGATGAGCTAGCACTGATGATGCTGCACTGATAGGCGGCACTGATGAGGTGGCACGGATAGGCAGCACTGATAGGAGGCACTGATAGGCAGCAATGATGAGCTAGCACTGATGATGCTGCACTGATAGGCGGCACTGACTGATGGCACTGCTGGACACTGTTGGGCACAGGTGGGTGGCACTGATGGGCACAGGTGGGTGGCACAAGTGGGCGGCACTGCTGGGCACTGATCATCAGTGCCCTGATGATCAGTGCTGATCACTTCTCTGACAATTGCAGGTTATCTGTAGTACTTTCCTGAAAGTGCAGCCGATAACCGACAACTGTATTTACCTGGTGATCTGCTGTGATTGGACACAGCTGATCACGTGGTAAAAGGCTGCTGTGATTGGCCGTTTACCGTATCACGTGATCAGCCAGGTGCACGCCACTGGGGGCGTGCAGATGGCGTGTTTTGGAATGACCTCCATGGACGTCCTCCCAGAACTAGATAACCGCGCTTTAGCCGTCTTTCAGCTATAGCGCAGTGGGGAAGAGGTTAATACAGGAGGCGTTTTACTAGCCAGATCACCAGGTGGAACCAGAAAGAAAAAAGACTAAAAAAAGAAAACTAATGCAGCCACATCTGTAATTGATAACCTGCAACATATTACATGTTTGGTTTTGATTTTAATACCTCTTTAAACATCTTGATTCTTAAAAGCCGCTCATCAGCTGCAGTTTTGTCTTCCTGTTTATCCCTAAAGCTCAGATTTTTAATTTTGACATTATGAACAGCTTATGTTCATCTGCAGATCACTGACTTCAGATTTTCTTGGTTTAATCATTATTTGTTGTTGTGCTATCAGACGAAAAAAAAAAAAGCTAGTTCTTCTAGAAGAGGAATGCTGACGGTGAACCTGGACATTAACGATTCTGAATGAAAACATCCTAAACTGCTTGAGCGGCTAAAAACTGCTTTTCAGCGTTTTATGAAATATTAATTGTGCCGCAGGATGCCGTGATCCCACAGGTTCATTCCAACTCACATTACCAGAGTAAAAGATTAGTTGTGGGCCCAGAGCACTACATCAAAGTGCTGAGAACAGCAGGGTGAGCTCTTCTTCCTTCTATTCTTTAAGTGTGTGTGTGTTTTGTACTGCCATAGGAGAGTGTCACTCCATAGTCACTGCAGAGTTGTACAACTAGAATAATACTGCATTGTTCATGCTGTCATGTTTTATACACAGCTTCAGTCTCTTTTCTAGAATAAAACAATCTAAAAATGGCCAGCCATGCACGTATGATCAGACTATCTTGGAATGTATCAGCTTCATCTCTTTAGACCAGGGGTCTCCAAACTTTTTCAACAAAGAACCTGTATAATGTCCTTTAGGGGGGCGGATTGAGCCCAGTGGGAGTAGAAAATGTCCTGGTGTCACTGGGAGTAAACAATGCCTCATCATAGGTGTAAGTGGAAGGAATAGTGCCCTTCATTGGTGTCAGAGAGAGGGCATTTGCCCAATTGTTGGGGTCAGTGGATGGAATAATGCCTCAAGGCCAGGGTATAAGCAAGCAAAGGGCCAGATCACTCCTTTAGGCATTGGGGTTGAGTTACTAAAACTGGAGAGTGCAAAATCTGGTGCAGCTGTGCATGGTAGCCAATCAGCTTCTAACTTCAGCTTGTTCAATCAAACTTTGATAATAAAATCTGGAAGATGATTGGTTTCTATGCAGAGCTGCACCAGATTTTGCACTCTCCAGGTTTAGTAAATAAACCCCCAATGCATTGAGAATGGGGAGAAGTGCTCCAATTTTTCTAACCAAAAATGGTGGGGCATGTCTAAGGTTGTCCTACAAATAGGCAATTGTCTTCTGACCTGGCTGAATCAAGAGGTTGTCATCTCATGTCTATGGGCACCTTAATGCCATTTTGACAAAGAAAAAAAATTTGCCTGGAAAAATCTTTTCTTACCTGTCCTGCTCAAGCCCTCCTTGGTGTTAACGGGAGGAATTATGATCCATCGTTGTTGTCAGTGGGAGGAACTGTGCCCCATTGCTGGTGTCAGTGGGAGGAATCATGTCCCATCATTTGTGTCAGTGGGTGGAATAGTGTCCCATCATTATTGTCATTGGGAAGAACAGTGTCCCATCATTGGCATCAGTGGGAGGATTAGTGCCCCATCATTGACGTTAGTGGGAGGATTAGTGCCCCAACAATGGCTTCAGTGGGAGGATTAGTGCCCCATCATTGGCATCAGTGGGAGGATTAGTTCCCCATCATTGGCGTCAGTGGGAGGATTAGTGCCCCAACAATGGCTTCAGTGGGAGGATTAGTGCCCCATCATTGGCGTCAGTGGGAGGATTAGTGCCCCATCATTGGCGTCAGTGGGAGGAATAGTGCCCCATCATTGGCGTCAGTGGGAGGATTAGTGCCCTATCATTGGCGTCAGTGGGAGGATTAGTGCCCCAACAATAGCTTCAGTGGGAGGATTAGTGCCCCATCATTGGCGTCAGTGGGAGGATTAGTGCCCCAACAATGGCGTCATTGGGAGGATTAGTGCCCCAACAATGGCGTCAGTGGGAGGATTAGTGCCCCATCAATGGCATCAGTGGGAAGATTAGTGCCTCAAGTGCCACATATAATTAAGCAAAGGGCTGCCTCTGGCCCACAGGCTCCAGTTTGTAGACCACTGCTTTAAATGATTCACATATTCATGATCTGTAATATTATTTGAAAGAAAACACTGGACTGAAAGAAATATGGAGGCTCCCATTGCTGTACAACATCTAAAAATACTAGGTGCCTGGCTATCTATTGTTTCATTACTTTGAGACCCAGACATGAACCAAAAACCCAGGTCAGGAATGCCTACGCCAGAACTCCTATCTGCAAGCTTGTCCAGGCCAGGGACTAACATATTATTGAAAGGGACTGCATCAGTATTGTATTCAGATGCTAAGCAATGACAGCTTCCATACTCATAGGGATTTCTTTTAATCAGGTTTTTATTGCAGTGTGTATCCACAACGGTTTGGCACTATTTATTTGCTGCCTGGGGGGCTTGCTGCAATTAACTGAACTCTGGGGGATTTGAAATGCAGGTTTGTACACTTCAATGCACGTCCATTAGTTTTCTCTACCTAAAATTTCAGTGAACAGAGAAAAAAAAAAGTGTACAGCCCTGCCTAACACACCTTAACGCCATGCGTTAAAATTATTTACTAATGGAGAGAAATTCATATAAAATGTATGCAATTGAGTTCATTATGGCTGTGTAATACTGCACTGTTACTTGCTCTTTGTTGAGAGATAAAAACAGATTAAATGTATTTAGTTGCTGTAGGCAAGCACTTTTCTTTAATCAGCCCCAGTAAGGGCCCACGTACAGAACAAAATCATGTGTAATGTGGAACTGTCACTGATGCTGAATGCTGATTAGAATGTGCAAGGGCAACACATTTTGCTTCACTTCCTCTGATTCCTATAAATGAGACAATGTGATTGTCGTTACCCAGTAATAACCAACAAATATTTTGTTCAAATAACATGGCTTCAGTGCTACAGTACACCATGGGAGAACAAAGATAATATACTTCCAAACACCTAGTAACATAAATAATAATAAAATGCATCTTCACTTAGTAATTCTCATCCTGCATAATTGCTCATTGCCTTTACCCCGCTGTGGTCTGCCTCAATAGTCCACACCGCCAATGAGATCTGCAGTACTATAGCCATCTGTGCAATGCTAAATTCACACCTGACCAGTTTCATTACTGTATATTTCACATTTATTAAATCTGCCACAGCAGATTGCCCGTAATAGAAAGAATCAGACCATCTTTATGAAACGTGACAACAGCACAGTAAATTTCATTATGCAAACATAATTATGTTTAGTGACAACAAAGCTAATTATTAATTCGCTTGGCCTCCTAGCAGTCTGTGCGGTTTGGAAGTCACCAACAGTTGTTCCAGCAGAGCCGCACCGTGCAGATGTCTACTAGTCTTCATACACTGAGCAAAACTGATTAGGTGCAGAATGCCGTTTATATTAAGCAAGACAGCATGGAAATGAAGAAGTACGAACACAATATTCATGCATGAATGTAGAAACACTATGCTTGGCAATAATAGATTTTCTTTTCATGAAGCCGTGCTAGTTTCAATTGAAAACGGCTCTCTCAATCACTGAAAATAAGCCAACAAATCATAATTGATCAATACTGTTCAATTGTGCAATCCGTGCCCTGAACAGTGATTGGTGAAACTTTATCTTAGGGTATGGCTAGGTTCATACCTATGCAGGTTGCATTTGACCCATTCCTGCATTGCGTTTTTGCACCTGCTTTTGCGTTGATGCGTTTTGCATCTCCTAGATTGTAAGCTCTAATGGGCAGGGCCCTCTGTTTCCTCTTGTACCAAATTGTATTGTAACTGTAATGTCTACCTTCATTTTGGAAAGTGCTGCGCAAACTGTTGGCACTATATAAATCCTGTATAATGATAATAATATTAATTTTGCAGTTTTTTTATTTTTCAGGTTTTTCTTTATTTTTCTTGTTGCTAGGCAGATTTAAAACACAAAAACATATCAAAAACGGTCCAAAAAACGCAATACATGCTTTTCTGCAGCATTTCCATTGAAGTCTATAGAACCAAAAATGCAACTTTTTGCATTCAAAAAATTCCCTGACCCTTTCCAAAAAATGCAACGGGTGAAAACTTGGAGATGTGAACTTATCCCATAGGAAATCATGTTAAATGGACTGTACTGCGTTTCTGCAAAACGCTGCAGAAAACATTTAGATGTGAATCTAGGGTAAGGCTGTTGAAAAATTGTATTAACAAATTGTGTTGTACCACCACCTTATACTGTGGGTAGCCATCTTTGCAGCTACCAGTATTTGCTTGACAATATGTACATGGTCTATACTAAAATTCGTGTACATCTCATTATAGCATACAGTAAAGTAGACCGTGCTGGCAGTTCACGGAATGGATGATTTGTAACACTTGATGTATATGTAAACCTTCACCTTGTAAAACAACCTATTCAGTTTAAAATAGAAATGAAAAGGCAAAACATTTGTATATACATAAAAAAAAAAACATTATTAATATCTTTTTCCCCTTTTCCCTATGATCACATACCTTCTGTTCTCAGCTGCATAAGGAACTTAGAGAGCTGGGGGAGGAGAAATAGCATGACACTGGTCTTCTTAGTG